GAACCGCTGGTGCTCTCTGCTCGCATCTGTGGGCAATTAGGAGTCCCGGTTCTTCTTCCCACCAAGGAGGGAGGGCTGCCTGGCAACTACTTACTGTCTAGGAGGGTGCCAAGCAGATGGTCTCCTTCCTCTTTCAGGACCGAGCCAGGGCCCAGGCAGACCTCTGGGAAGTCAGACCTGAGGCTGCACTTTTGTAGGGAAGATATTGAAGCCAAGAGCAGCCTCCGCAGGGTCAGAGACTCACCCCTGACCAGGACCTGTCTGGTAGTGTGGCGTTTATGGCTTTGGCTTCAGGCAGTTCGAGGCCTGAATACCAACTCCACTAACTGTGTGACCCTGGGACAGTCACTTCACGGCTCTGAGCCTCAGTTTCCTCATCTGCAGAATGGGGGTAATAACTCCAATGAAAACGCCGTGCTCTGAGGATCGCGAGGCGTGTGAGGTTCCAGGCTCTGTGGCTGCAGGGAGGTGATGCAGGCTGTCATGAGGACCTCAGGTTCTGTGGACTGAGGGCCTGCTGCCTGGAGACAGGGGAGGGCCGCACGACTTCAGGAGATCTTGCTAGAGGTCTGCACTGTGGGGTCACAGAGGCCAGCAGAGACAGAGAGGGACCGGCTTGCCCACAGTCACAGCATGCTAGGGGAGGAGTGCTCACGACATCCTGGGAGGACACCTGGGAAAGGCAGGTGGTCTGGGTTCTGCTCTCACGCTTAGGAACAGAGGTCAGCAGTTCCTCCTCTTTCACCAGTCCATGTTCTCGGCCCCAGCGCCCACCCAGGGTCAGGCACTGTGAGCGGAACACAAGCTGGGGAAGCCCGGGCCTGAACAAGCTTCGAAGACAGGCAAGAGGAGAGGGCCAAGTGACAGACTCCAGCGATGAAGCATGTGGCAAGAAATTGGAAGTCTGGGGCGCGGTGGCTAAGAGTACTGGACTCTTAGATGGCTGACCGTGGTTCGAATCCCAAACCTTGTGGTTTGCTTTCTCACTTTCTCTCTCTCTCATTCTGTCTCTCTGTGGTCAAATTAAAATAAATAAATAAATAAAAGTTAAATAAGATCAATCTAAAAGAAAGAAAGGAAGGAAGGAAGAAAGAAGTTGGAACTCTGGAAGAATCCAGGAAGGCTTCCTGGAGGAGGCAGAGTAGGAAGGGTCCATTGAAGGAAAATGATGAGGAAGGGCATTCCAGCCAAGAGGAATGCCCACAGGCAGAATGGTACAAATTCCTTCTGGGAATTCTGGAATCTGGTAGGAACAAAAGGCCCAAAACTGGAGTAATGAGGCAGGGGACACTCACAACACCTCTGAGCTCTGCCTCTGGTTAGCTGAGTGGCTACCATTCCATGACTGTGGCGAACCCCCATTTCCTCTTATGAAAGCAGGTAAAAACAGCCCCTACCTTTGGGGTGCTGGAAGTCTTACAGGAGACCATTCTCCTAAAGCACTCAGCACAGTCCCGACATGCAGTGAGGGTCGGCCGGTGGCAGCCACTGTGAGGAGTTGAGGCTTTCTACAGGCACTGGGGAGCCACAGTAGAACTCTGGGCAGGGGTGGTGTGATCCGATGGATATTTTTGTAGGGAATGACAAGGGCCAAGTCCAGAAGGAGGGAGACAGTGAGGAGGCCTGAACAGCCGCCTGGGACCAAGAGAAATAGCCAGGGGCTGGCCCCCTCTTCACGCAGGACCCCACATCTGACAGCCACCTTCCGGACCTTCAGCCTTAGCTGTATGACCACTGGGCCGGGGTTGCCATCCCCACTCACCCTAGAACTTTCTGAGCCACTGAGGGTTTGGAGGATATCTTAGGAATCTGGAAAATTTGCAAATCTATTTAAATCCCCAAAGGTTGCTTGGCGGCTTCCTGGCCTAGAGCCAGATTCTTAGAAACAAGCTTGGGCCAAGACATGGGGGCCCAGGTCCTGAGGTGCCGTCCTCTGTCCATGTATCCTGCTTGTCACCTCCTGACTCCCCATCTGGCTCCTCTCAGCTCTCCCCTGCCATGGATTGCACTGCACTTTGGACGCCCCCATGCAGCACCCTGATACCTCTGGGGGACACTGGACGAGGGCAGGGGGCAGCAGAGTCGAGGACGCAGAGGCCAGCTATCCCAGAACCAGAGAAAGGGGAGGACTGGCTCCTCCAACCCTGACGTTACCCACCGCTTTCCAGCCTCCCATCTGGTTTTGTTAAAAATATTTTCCATTTTTTTACCTACGGCAAGAAGAGGTACAGTCTGGAGCAAGGGGACAGGGCACAGGGCTGGGATTCCCACCTCTCTCAGCTCTTACCTTACTGATGGCTTCTGGGCTGTCACCCCTTCCAGGAAGTCCTCCTTATTGCCTTCTCATTATCAGAAAGACCTTACTTAACCCCAAATGGACTATAGCGAAGTGGAAAGGCAGAGAAGTCCTTTGAGGTCTCCTAGAGACTCTGGAGGAGAGGGAGATGGTGCTGCAGGGGCGCGGAGCCTGCAGGGATGAGGAGCGGCCCAGCTGCTCCTCACTCCCAAAGCATCCTCCGGGTGGAGCTGAGTTGCCAGGAGGGGCGGTCCGGGTCTGGCCCTCTGTGTCAGGCAGGGCACAGGCTCCAGCCGGGGCTGCACGGAAGAGCCCGGCTCTCTTCCTCGTTGGTCCCCTCCTATCTGGCTCCAAGTTGCTCACAGAGCGAGCAGTCCCGGGTCCCAGATGGGCGGGCAGGGACTGGCGTCCGCTGGCAGCCCCAGGAGCTCACACCACTGTGGGCTTCCCTGCCCTCCCCACTTTGGGGGAAAGGCTGCAGGGCCGCCTCTGATTGGCCCAGCTGGGAGGAGGGGGGCGGCGGGGCAGGGAGGGTGGACGCGTGCGTCTGTTTTCAATTTCAGGGTTTCCTCCCCCCTCTCTCTTTCTTTTCCCCCAAGTTTCTTGTTTTTCTTCCTCTTTTTTCCTCTGCTCGCTCCCTCCGTCGCCTGCTCTCAGGATATGAAGGGATGTTTAGAAATTCCACAGCCCACGCCAGTCGCTGAGTCACTTTTATAAAGAGTGGCCTGGCCTTACTTGCCTGATGCCTGTCTCGGTGGCACCCACCCCTTGCCATGGCACCGGGGGGAGGGTCCTTTCTCTGAGCCTCAGTGTCCCCAGCTCTGATCATCCGTCCATTCACGCATCGACCACCGTACGAAGCACCTCGAACATGCCGGAGACCTCGAGGTGCAGGGCACGGCGCTGAGGGAGGTGGTCCCTGACCCCAGAGCACACAGGCAGCCAGAGGGACATGGGTGGGCAAGGAGGGCCCTGGCGGGGGCCCTGGTGGGAACCCTGGAGGGTGCCCCGGCCACCAAGCGTACCAGTGCGCTCAGAGTGACACCTAGCTGATTAGAGGAGCACTTCTGCAAAGAGGTGACTTGGAAAAGATGGAAAGACCCTTCAAGAGCATCAGTCTCTGTTCAGAAGGAGAAACCAAGAGAGGGAAAGGGAGCCGTCCAAGGTCACTCAGCACAGTTCTTCAGGTTTCTAGGGTTTTTTTTTTTTTTTCTTTTGAGAGATTTTCGCTATAGGGTGCATGTGCTCGCCAGACAGACAGAGAGAGACATTAGAGACACAAAGCGAGAAATCACTCCCCAGGGGGCATGGTCACGCCACAATCCCTTCTCCTCCATTCTCCTCTCTGGATTTTGGGCATGCACACACATGTGCCTGGTGTGTTTCAAGCCACTGGGTCCAGGACTCAAACTGCAGTTGACCACATGGGAGTCTGGTGCTTTAACCATCCCACGACCTGCTGGCCCCTCGGAGTCCTTTTAAAACAATGCCCCTTGATATCTGAGGGCATGGCCATCACCCTTTGAGGGGGAGGAGTTTTCTTGCTTTCTGTCTCTGGTGAGCACACACACCCTATGGCAAAAATCCTTCAAAAAAGTTTTAAAAAAAATTATTAACTTTTAAAATTTTATTTATTTACTTATTTTTATTTGACCAGAGTGGGACAGAGAGAGAGAAAGAGAGAGAGAGAGAAAGGGAAAGTGAGAAAGGCAGCTGCTGGGTCCGGGACTCAAACCGTGGTCGGCCATGAGAGAGTCCAGTACCCATGCCACCTGTTGGCCCTCTCAAAAAAATTTTAAAAAAGACTTCAAGAGTTGAGCTAAGCATCCCCTGCTCCCATTACCACATACCCAGGGAAACTGAGTCCTGCGTGGTGGTGGTGAAAGTGTCCTAGGCCACCCACCTGGTGACCCAGCAGCCTAGTTCTGCACTTCTGTCTAACCCCTTTCCTCCCCAGGCCCCCAGGCTCACGGAGCAGGGCACTGGCCTGACCCGAGGTTCCATGCCCACCACAGTAACCCACCTTGCAATCATTTCCCGGTCTTGTCCCAGGCAGGATTGCCCAGCACAGCACTGGAGCTGGGCCACAGGGGACTAGAGAGCTCAGACTGGCTCTAGGCCACAGGATGGGGACCAGGAGAGTCTCGCACAAGTGGGGACTGGCCCGTTAGTGTGGCAGCGGGGTCATTAAGTAGGGGAATGTGGTGAGACTCCACAGAGCACAGGTCAGGCCCGGAAACACCAGCAGACATTTACGACGGTCCTCCCAGCATCCGCCTTGGCCATGCATCTCTGAAGCCGGGCTTGGGCTTGTGCCCCAGGAAGAGAGTCAGGAAGGCCCAGCTGCAGACTTGCTGGGAGACCTTGGATAGGTCCTTTGTCCTGCCTTGGCCTCTGTTTCCCAATCAGTGCGTAACGGGGATGGGCTCGCTGTGCTGGCCCTGGGATGCTCTCTGCGGTTTCCCGCAGAGGTGGACTCCGGCTAGGGAGAGGAGGCTGGCAGGCCCTCGGGCAGGGGTATGGCTGGGGGTCAGGGATGCAGCACAGGGGGAGGGGGCGGTCGGTGGCAACTCCCCGGGGAAACTGGGGGGCGGCGGGTTTCGGGCCCGCCCGACCC